TTGCGGTTGTTGTTGTGGTTGTGGTTGTGGTTGTTGTTGTTGCGGTTGCGGTTGTGCTTGTGCTTGTGCTTGTGCTTGTGGTGGTGGTGGTGGTGGTGGTTGTGGTGGTGGTGGTGGCGGTGGCGGTGGCGGTGGCGGTGGCGGTGGCGGTGGCGGTGGCGGTGGCGGTGGCGGTGGCGGTGGTGGTGGTGGTGGTGGTGGTGGTGGTGGTGGTGGTGTTGTTGTTGTTGCCCTTGCCCTTGCCCTTGCCCTTGCCCTTGCCCTTGCTCTTGCCGCTGCTGTCGCTGTCGTCGTTGCCGTCGCTGTCGTCGGTCGTCGTCGTCTTCCTTGCTGTTGTCGTTTGAGTGGTTGGCTCAGGGAAGTTAAAAGAGAAATGTTCTTGCAGACGCTTGTAGAGTTGGCTTAAAGAAGCTAGCTTGTTTCATCCACCCGAAGGTCATACGATTAAAATGTATTAAGATTCTCTTTGCGGTAAAACGCGCTGTGGCCCCCTCCCCCCATGGCCAACACCCAGGCAAAGGCGGATTATTTGTTCCTCCGCGTAAACTGTTCGACCTTGAGCCGGGTCCGCTTTTGGAAGTGTGTAAGCAAAGGGAAGTTTGTCAGTCGTCTTGATCCCCAATTGCTATTTTTCTTTCCAACAGCGGGCCAACCAGCATGAGCCTGTGCTTGTCTCCACGAACCCTGCTTCTTTAGTGGCACCGCTGTCACCCAATTTTATTTGCCCCTTCTATTTCAGGCAGGTCTCCCTCACAACAAACCCAAAAGGGTTTCCTTAGAGCTCCTTTTTTGATGCCCTTTATGCGGGTGAGGTTTCCCTTAACCATTACTTTCAAGCAAAGGCCAGTTTTCTGAAATACTTGTGGGGGAAGGCGCTAGGAGGAAACTAGGACTCTTTGATGGAGCAGCCATCGTCGCATCCGCCCAGGGCCAATTGTTGTTATGAGCGCTGTCTTGCGTAGCAAGGAGGTTTTCGTTTGATCACTCACCGTTTCGCCTCGGGACCCTTAGTATGGACAAACCAACCTGGCCAGGAAACTGCTTTCCTTTGGGACTTCCAACACCGCAAGTGAAGCAACGTTGTGTTTGGCCAGGGGAACCTAAACAGAAACCTCTCGGTCGGCATCCCCTTGCAACAGCCTTCAAAAAGAACACGTTGTGTTCCAGAAAGGGCCCTTTCAGCGGTTTGTTGAGCTCCCAAAAATCAGAGTTGCAAATTTTCCCAAACTCCAGGGTCTGCGTTTCAGGCGGCGAGAAAGGCGATGACGATATGCTTTCAGACTTTGGACCCATTGATGTCGACGCAGAAGTTAGCAGTGGGGATGAAAAGCGTGAAACTGCAGCCTTGGCGGCGGCAAAAACTCGCAAGCGAGCGGGCCTGCCAGAGCTTGAGCTGGACGCATTGCCCAGCGTTATGGCCAACAAGATGATGTGCCCTGGCTTGGCTTAGAAAAAGCGCTTCTTCCCTTTCAACTGCGTGGCAAGACCGTGAAGTGCATCTCAGGGCTTGCCTGACAAAGCGTTCGAACCAGCTCCAGACCTTCCTGGATGCCTTCAACGCTGCTGAAAAATTATCCGACCTTCAAACACGGACTCTTGCCTTGATCCTTTCTCTTTTTGGGGAGGGCGATCCCCCACTAAATGAAAAAGGGTACCCTTTTAAAATTCTAGACCACCCTTTTTAAAAATCTAGACCATCGGGGGGCCAAGTGATGCACTTGCCCTGTTGAAAGCATTCGAAGCTGCCCTACCCCGAATCCCAACCAATCCAAGCCTCGCAGGATGGTGGCCAAGATTGAGACAGTGGTGGCTGGCCTGCAGCAGTCACATGAAAAAGTGGAAGGAATCTACACCGCAGGGGTTGTGGACGGCTTTACTGAGGAGCCCGAGCCCCAGTCCCTACCCGCAGTCCTGGTCGCTCTTCAGCTGCTGCTAGGTTTGAGGAGCAACTCCGAGCAGAGTACCAGAAGGCTAAGCCATTGCAGCTTGGCCAAAACTTCAGGGATACATTCGGATACATAGGTTTGACTGCCACACACACATCACCCCACGCTTGCCCAGGGCTGTGGAAGCTTTGGGCTTGGAGAGCAGAGCCAAGTTGCTGCCTTAGCGTGCCGCAGCCAATGGTCAGGGTGTGCCCCAAACATGACCTAGGTCTGTGCAGCCTCGAGGAGTGGATGCTAGCAAGATCAAACCGAAAAAGCGGGTCAGCGTGAGAGCCAAGGGGAAGCCCCAGCCGAAGCCAAAGGCCAAGGCGCACGCTTCTACAGGGAATGGCGAAAAGCCAGAAACTGGCAGGAAGCGCAAAGCGCAGAACTGATCAGATCCCAGAATTTTGTCTGGGTGTTTTTCCGCTTTTCCATCGCGCCCTCCTGCGGTATTGTTTTTCAGTGAGAACAGAAAACCTTTACCTTAGTGTTTTCTTTGGGGCGGATGGAAAGGTGCTGGGGGGGGGGGCAGCTGCTTTAGAAATGAGCAGCTGAAAAATCAGCAATGGCAAGCATCACAAGCAAGGCTTGTGTCGGGCGAAAAATGCTGCGCGCTAACCTTGCTAGCTTTGAGGGAAGCAATGAAACGCACTCGCATGTGGATGGGGTGCTTGGAAGTACCTGCTGCACATGCCAGGCACACACGAGCCGAGTGGCCCCTGCAAGAGACCACTTGAAGAAGCTTATGCCGAAGCAATTTCCGACGGGGCCTGGACCTCACTAATTCAAGCAACCCAAACCTTTCTCTGAAGAGTGGGGCTCACCTGGATTGTGTGAATTGGGATTGCCTAACACCTTGCCTGTGTCCTTCAGCTTGGCGACGTCCAAGGTCCCTGCCACTGCCTGCGCTAGGATCAGACATGGAGCTCTTGTAGAAGCTGGTGATTGGGACAACGTCAACAAATTTGACAAGGGCCCAAACGCTATGAGGGATGCCTTTCGCGCGGTCCGAAGATGGGGAATAGGGTGGCGGGTGCCTATTGATAAATTCAATTTTCAATGTGAAGACGGCTCCTGGATTTGCATCGGGTACCTGCACCCCAAAAATATGCTTGAGTATCTCATCAGCAAACATCCCATCACCTTGCTCGGGGTTCCTGACCTGGAGGTTGGAAAGTCTCACTGCTACGCTTTTTGGAAATCATACCGCGACTTTCACGGCACGCACGAGGTCTTCAACCATTTCGCAAGTGAAGCTCAACTGAGTCACATCATACCTGTTGCTCTCCATGGCGATGAGGGGCGTGGCAAGCGCCGTTCCAACACAACAGTGGCTTCATGGGAAGCGGTTCTTGGACATAAGGGCCACCTATCTGAATGCGGGGATTGTGTGCCAACCCATCTCGACCCAATTCCACACGCTGACGGCCAGAACCTGCTTGCACACAAGCTGAAGTCCAACATGAAGGGGCACTCTTTCATCCAACACTTTGTATCTTTTATTTTGCCCGGTGTTCTCCTGGCCGGAGTGAGTGGCCTTCTAGATGCGATGCTAGCAATGCTGGCGGACGAGTTCGCCAAACTTTTCCGTGACGGAGTAGTGGTATGTGGCACAAAATGGCGCATCGGTGTAGTCGGATGTAAGGGTGATCTGAAATGGCACTCCAAAGTGTGCCATCTCATTCGAGGCTACGAAAACAAAAGCCCAACCCTTGATGCTGCGTGCTGCCATCTTTGCCACGCCGGGCTCCCAGGGCTGCCTGCTGAAGACTTGTCCGAACAGCCAGCTTGGCTTCGAACTTTATACACAACCCGGCCGTGGCACCCAGCAGCGCCACCCGCGGTCCACCGGATCCCGTTTGACAGTGCCCGCCCTGAATTTATGTACAAGACGGATGGGTTCCACACACTACGCCTCGGACTATTTCGAGATTTTATTGGGAGCACAATCTTTCTATTGATTCGCTGGGGTTTTTTCCTTGGGCAGGGGGATGTGCCGACCAAGTTGAACGCAGCATTTGGACACTTTAGGCTCTGGCTTCGGAACGAAGGCAAGACTGCCTCGCTCCGTTCTTTTACAAAAGCGTTCTTTTCTTATTCCAATCGGCAATCTTTCCCTTGGGTAAACGCCAAAGGATCGGACGTTACCCTTTTGTTGAAATGGCTAGCTGTGACGGCGGTTGCAGCAATCAATAGTATTGAGGATCCTCACCGTCTAGAGCCTTTACAAGTTATTCTTTCTGTTGCACGTTTGGCCATTGACTGGTTCGACCTCATCAACTCACATGGCCTGTGGTTACGCCCATCGTGCGGCGCGGTGCTGTATGAGAAAGGACGCGCCCTCGTTTGCGGGTATGGGTGGCTGGCCAACTATGCTTTCCAACACCAGGAGTGCCTTTATGCTTTGAAGCCAAAACTCCATTTTCAGATGCACGCCTTGATGGAGCTGCGGGCCCAGCTCGATGGCCGCCACCAAGCCATCCTGAGCCCAGTCATCTGGGATCGCCAGCAAAATGAGGATTGCATAGGCAGAGTGAGCAAGTTGAGCCGAATCCTAGACTCACGAGTTGTGACCACAAGGGTGCTCGAATCGTATTTAGTGAAAGCTGGTATTTTGCTCCAACGTTCCCAACGGCAAGGCGCGTAGCTCTGAGGCCAAGGCATCACCGGCTGTGCGATGTCTTTGGTCGCAGGTGATAGAGCCCATCAGCGGGGCCGGCGAGCGAAACAACCATGTGTGGTGATGTCGTCCTGGGTTTGTTTTGGGTAAACAGGGTTGAAACAATGTTTTGAGCTCCCTCCAACTGAAACTGCTTGTGTCTGGGGCAAAGGAGAGGCCTGCGTAGGAGCGGCAGGGTTACCGGCGTGCTTGGGCACTAAACACCTTTTTTCACCATGAAGCACCCAAACTTTTCTGGGGCGGCGCTTATTTTGATTATTTCACCAAACGCCTAAAATTATGCGCAAGCGGATTTCATAGGTATGATCAGATCGAACACTTGCTTAGAATCCCCCAGTTTTAACACATTCGGACACATCCCGCTCTCCTAACTGGCAGTCCCCCAACCAAACCTCGACCACCTTCAAGTCGTGCAGGTCCTCGACAGGTCCCCACCCCACTTGGTTTACAGCTCTGCTCCCGCTGCAAGGAGAAAATATTCCTGACTTGGTGTCATATTTAGTTTACCCTGCAAATTCATATTTGTGTGGAGGAGACAACCCTTAGGGCCATGACGCCCTCTTGCCCTTGAGCCTTCGCCCGTTGAGCACTGGCTTGAGAGTTGTTTGAGGACGGGCATGTGTGCACCATGGGCTGCAAGAACTACACACAGCTGCAAGGTGACATGGTCATGGGTTGCATAACCTATGGCGAACCATTTTGGGGTGGATGAACATCCATTTGCCACCTATTTTGATGTTCACCAGGGGTACAGGGTTTTGACCCACAGCCACATCCATGAAATCAGAGGCCGTTGTTCTCCCAGTGAATACCGTATGAAATCTGAAAGCATGCTGATCGGTTGCTGTCGACCCCCACGCAAAAAGCGCAATAATAACTGTTTGTGGGTCCAATGCAGAAAATCAGTATACTGTTTCAACCAAAAAGACATGCAGTCCAAAGATCCGTTTCCCGAAAAGCCATTAAGGCTATGGCATCTCATGAGTGCCGGTATGGGTCTGTCCGATCTTAAGCTGGCAACCCGACTGCCACGACAAAAAAAAGATGGCATCCTCTTCTCAGAAATGACAAAAAATCAAAGCAGGGAAAGCAAAAAGGATAAAGAGTAAAAGGTCGAATCGCTATGGTTGCAAGTGAGCTTCTGTTGGTCGCTCTGTGTTCCTTGGTGCGATAGGCAGGGGATGAGGGAATAAACCATCCCCTATGGCTTCCTCTAAGGAACTCCCTAGGCTCATTCCCGAAAACCGGGCTGGGTCGTTCCCTACCTGTCGCAAGTTTCAAGCCAATCGGAAACGGATTCCTCGGCCTCTGCCCAAAATCAGTCCTGTCTCTCGTTCCAGTGCTGTACAACTGCTCGTACCAACGCTGATGCCTGGCTCCGACGCTTCCAGTTGGGCTTGAGTTGTTGAGGGTACCCCTTTTGGTTCCCCCCATATTGTAGCACGTATCAACCACATATCTATGTAAGGCTGCAACCAGCTGTTTCTGTTGGGTCCCCCTTATTTTCACACATATCAACCACATACCCATGTAAGGCTGCAACAAACGTCTCAAAGTAAGCAGGTCAAACAAATGGCTGGCGACCAAAGCAACCAAACATCACCAAAGCTTGGTCGCGGCCATGGCAAAAGGAGCCAAAATCCGCTGGCCAGTGCCCGCGACTAGACAAAGTTGGCTGCTGTCGGAGTCTCTCAAGACAGGAACGCACCCGAGAATCAAGGAAGTATGCACTGTGTTGCAAATTCAACAGCTACTCTCTCGGGCCAAATGAATTATTCTCTATCACAAAGTTGTAAATTGCGTCCAGTGCTGTAAACCGCTTCAATCCTTATCTTCGTAAAATGCCCTTGCGAAGGGCTGCTGACGTTGACAAGCTACAGTTCAGTGTCAACTGAAAAGACCTCAGCAAGTTCCCCGCTCTTCCAGCCGGGGCGGACAGTTACAAATTACTGGGATTCATATATGTACATATATATATATATATACACATGCATGTATATATATATATATATAAATTGTATATGTGCAGGCTGCGTTTGCACCAACCACTCCTCCAAATGGTGGTTGTCCTCTTGTTTTCCCATTAAAACCCCACACAAAAAAAGAAAAAGCTGCACCTCTCCAAGAGACGAGCCACCCAAAGGAGACACCGCAGCCCAAAGAATCGTCTTCGGTGGGCTCCCGAACGGTGACCCCAGGTATCAGGGGCCCTAAAAAATCAACACCCCCCCCCAAATATATGTGGGACCCTTTTCTCAGTTCGGTGACCCTGGAAAAAAAAGGGAACCCTTTTTTGGGGCTTGGACCATTTTTAGTGCGGCAACCACCAACAAATAAGGGAAAAAGGGTGCCACTGAACAACTGAGTTCTTGAAGGGCTCCAAAAAGGACACCAGAAGGAAACCTGCAGGACTTGGTCCCCTGGGTTTCCTTCAAAAAAAACGCCGAAGCCGACGCCTCACAACCCATCGCCGAGTTGCCTGTGGCCGGAACTCCCGTTTGAAGGTGCAGTGGGCAAGGCAGGCAGCGGCCTCCAGGAAACGCCCTGGGTGAAACCTGCAAAACTTATGGCTTGCAGAACAAACCACCCACAAAAAAATAATAATCCGCACAACAACCCATGGTTTGCGTCAAAAGAAACATAAATACACACTTTAGCATGTTGTTTGTGAGCGTGCCCTCCAAAAAACACCCATGGTGTCTTGGAGTCTGCAACCTTGGATTGCTATCGGCATGGTGAGGAGTAAACAACGTAACTGTAAATTGAGAGCAATCCGGAAAGACAAAAAAAGCAATCTACATCGACTCCAACTTCAATCAAGCTTGATGGATCCTTTCCGTTCCTGTCAGTTCTGAAACCGAATTTGATTAGAGCTATCATGCAGGCCCAAAGACCAGAAGGTGTTTCAAATGCTACTTGGCGCCTTCTGGTTTCGCTGGTACAAACTAAACCCCTCAATCAAAGGAAACAAGCTATTGGACTACCGGCATGACAAGCTAGCTACCAATACTGGCATCTTTGAATCTTAAACCAGCCGGCTCTGCCATCAACTTCACTTGACGTGTTCGACCTGCACCCCGCACCTCGTTTAAAAACCACGGTGTGTCTTTTTTGCGCCCGCCCGGAAAAAAGGAAAAAGAAACGCGTTCCCTGGGGATTTCATTGAAACCGAACACGCCTCAAAAACGTGGCACCCTTCGCCTCATAAGGCACACACCAGGGACCGGATCTGTACTTCACCTGGCTGATAAACGGGGTGTGGCGGTCCAGCCGGGTTTCACTTGAGGGAAACACCCCCAATGAAGGTACCAGCTGAATTAGTTCGTCGCAGCGACGGATTAAGCTTGTCCTCAAGCAAATGGGTGTCTTCCCTTTGGCTTTACTTTAAAGGCAGCCCAAACAGTAAAGTTGGAAGAAAGTAGACAGCACAATTCCTGCATGTTGGCTTGGATTTAGTCATCCATATTCACTTTCCCACATGAGTCCGACGCAAAACCAGGTAACAAATGGTTAATCATGTAAAAAATCAAAAGGCGGCCACACCCATTTCTGGCTGGGATTGTCCCTTACTGCCCTCCAATTGCCCCAGGTCTTGATTGTGACTCGCATGGGAATAGTGCTAACTACTTTTACTTGCTGCTTCTCAGGAGGGAATGAGGGAATGCCCCCTATAAACCATCCAGCTGGTGGTTTCCTTTAAGGGAATCCGAAGGTTCATTCAACCACAATCCCTATCGCACCAGCAAGTTTATTCTACCCTTATACATTTCCTCACCCTCCTCCATGTCGTTGCAAAGGCTTTCGCGCCACCAACTGCCCATCCCGTCCGCCTCTGACAGTGCTAGCTTCGGCAGCCGACGCTGAATCTCAGCGCACGCAGCGGCCTCAGAAATCGCTTGTGGGTCCCCGTAAAGGAAGCCAACAGTGGGAGGGTTTATAGGGGTCATTCCCTCATTCCCTGCTGAGCACCAGCAAGTTTGTGGTGATACTGTGGATGGCTGCGAAATCCGAGACCGCACCACAAAATGAAACTATGGTTGAAACCAACACGTTGGCATTTTACAGGGGAATCCAATCATTCCAGGGTTTCTTAGGTGGTACACGAATTCGTCCATCCACAGTATGTTCAGATTCCGCTCCATAATATTTAGCAAACAAAAAGCATGAATGAAGTTGGGATGAGACCCCAAATCCTTGCGCTTTGAAGGCCTTTCATATTGGTGTAATCTCTTGCCCGGTCATGGAGACCAAACCCAGTCATTCAACATGGGTCTGTAGGTATGCTTTTGGAGAATTGAACAATGACCAAACTGAAGCCACTGAAACCATTCATGCCAAGACCCAGACCAGGCAAATGGACGCCGAGTCTCAAATTGAAAAAGATGATGGGTGATTGAGCGCATAGGTTGTTTCTCTCACTTCCTGAGTGGAAGGCCCAAACCAAGTCTGAACTTTTTGTTTACCACGATGGTCTTCCCCAAAAGCATAAAGCCCATGAACGCAGGAAGTGAGTTCTTGACGATCGTGGGTTGATTCTTGTTCCTTGCTGGCAAACCGAGTCCCGAGCTGAATTTCCGGATGTCGCCTGTTCTTTGTGGTCAGTCCAAGTCTAGACAAAACAAAAATCAGATCAGATGTCCAACTGTAAACGCCCACCCGTCTTGTTGCATCCTGTCAGCACGTCCGAAAAGGAATCCACAGGCGGATTCAAAACACAAACCCGACCTGAGCTTCTGATCTGCTCTCGGTTTTGACCCACTTTCACCATCCAGGTTATTCTGGGTCGATCGGGCCCAAAATCAAGGGCTTTTACCCCACTTCTGTGATACAAGAGAATCTCCCCCGTTATGTGGTGGGTTAGTCTTTGGGAAGCCCTTATTGCTGTATCACAGAAGTGGATTCCATTTCCCACAGCCCTGATCCCTAGTGAGTCATGGGAAATGGTCAAAGCCTCATCCCAGCTTCACATCTCGCCGCACCTTCGTCCAAACCAACAAGGTACACCAAGAGGTTTTGCCATCGAACCAGTGGATTCTCCAGGTATGAGCCTCGGCCAGCTGGCTGGTCTTGCTGGCACGGTTTGGCCTGGTTGCATCTTGATTTAGACCCCGCAAAATGGCGGTTGTCCTTTTGGCTTGCCTTGAAAACCACAGAAGAAAAAAGGTAGCCTCGAAAGAAGACCCACCCATATTTCAGGAAACGATCCAGTACTCCTGGTTCGAAGTCCAGACTTGCAACCTTGATTACTTTTGAAGGGATCGACACACCAATGTCTCGCACTCAACCACTCCACATATAAAATATGTGGTATCATGTAGACAAGTGAGCACCAGATCAATGCGAAGGAAGCCCGTACGTAAGGGCCATACGAGTTACGACTCCAAACCCGAGCTGGGCATCCGGGCATGCAAATCTGCACAGCTGTGAAGATCTCGAGCGGCTCTTTGCCTTAGTCCGTCGACCTCACGCTGAACTGGGAAAAGTGATCTCTGGTCTGACAGCTTCTGCCTTAGAAAAAGGAATATCATACTATGGTGAGCATGCATCTCTTGGGTGATGCTGAGCAATGTTCTGAACAAATGAAGGTAAGGCCATCAACATCCAGTCCGCTGCAACTGCAACTTGACTGAAACCAATTGAGCAGGCTTTCTTGCTACACCAACAGATGGCACATGTTCCTTGCCGATCTCTTTGCCTGAACTTGACCTGGCACTCAAGAAGTCTACACAAATCTTGCAAAGAGTTAAAGTGGCAGCTGCACTTGTTTTTGTTTGGGGCTTCAGTACCTGTCAGCTACCAGCGTTTTGGTCGTGCCTCAGGTGAACATGGCAAATGCCCAGTCAAAAGCCTCTCTTCTCAGGTCCAATGATCTTACCTGCCGCTCGTACAGAACCCAAATTTGACAAGGTCCTCTAAGACGGGCAAAGGCTGACGGCAAGGACTGGTTGAGGACACCACACAAATAACATCAGGAATCCCATGTCTCAAGCAAACCTATGTGCTCCGATCTGCGGATCCGGAACCTCCGCGACATATTGCCATCCTCACAACTTGACTAGGTCCTCCAAGTAGAGAGGGTACCGGTTTCTTTTCTTTGTGTAGTCTATTTTAGTAGGGGAACCCTCCCCCAAAAAAAGGTAAAAGAGCACTACTGGGCAACCTAGTTTATGTCGAACCCAGAGGAACAAACTCCTGATTCATTTGATTCCCCTTGTGGTTGGACTCAGCCACTGTAGGAGGGAACCCTCCGCGAATGGGACGGGTTTCTTCCGGGGTCAACATTATTAATTAATTCGCACATTCACCGCAAACATTGTTTGAAAGCCGGGCAAATGGCTTTCATTGCTCAGATTGCACATGGACGACATTCTGTTGAGATGAACAAAGTCATCTCCTCAAGACATTGTCACAAAAAGGAGGATCTATTTGGGTGCCAGCGGGTGCCAAAATGAATGTTTAAAAAATGAAACAACATATCTATCCCCTTTGGACGTCCTCAAGGGAAAACTAACACATCCGACTATTCAGCTGCGAAAGCCCAGGACCAAACGTGGATGATACTGGGAAGAAAGCAACCAACACAATCTGGCCGATGCATGGAAACCAGACGGGCTTCCTCGTTGAACCTCGTGCTTTTGTGGTAAAATAGGCAGCCACTTCTGATTTGCGATCCGACCCAAAATTAGCCGACAGCCTCACACCTGAGCCTCGCTCAGGAGGCCTCTCACTCACGTTTTGGGCTGTCCCTGTGGCTCAGCACACAAGTCCAGGCCCGAATGTGTCGCAACTCAACTCTTGAAAAGGTTCCGTGGTCAGTGGGCAGCATTGCAAGAAACAACGATTGATCGTGGTTGACGTTGGAAGGGGAGCAAACATTTAAGTTTTAGCAGTTAAGTGGGGATTCCCACTGAACCACAATAAGCAAAATGCATTTTTTTCCCAATAACAACCATGCGATTGCCGCATTGGGACCCTCGCAGCTCTGAGAAGGGAACTGCTTGACGACCGGGGGTTGTCCTACAGGGCTCCCTATATTTCCCTTTTAAGCATCACCCCACCAAAAGCAAGATCAGTTTAAATTGGCCCAAAAGGCAATGTCTAAAACCACCAAAAGGGGAAGTACAGGGGGCCCTGTCCTAAGTCAGTCTAGCATGGTGCCGGACTGAAGCGCGACTTGTAATGAGTGTGAGCAAACAGGAGTGACGATCAATGCCACGCACAACACAAGCTAAGAAGCTAAGTCAGCCAGGCAGATGTTTATATGCAAATCTGGGCGGATGCTGCAAACGCAGTATGAGAAGGCCGTACATACCCCTTCATACCCCTTCCTCATACCCCTTGGATCCCTCTTGATAAATACGCCTCTTGGACAGTGGTATGAACACCAGCCTTTTTGCCATGTACCCAAAGGCTATGTAAAAAGGGCACCTTCAACAGCTAGACATCCGCTCTCGCATAGCTCAGTCAGCCTTTGGGATCCCGGCACCAGCAGCAACTGAGAGGAGCACAGCGAAGCTACCTGGCGCGTGGCTTTCGTTCAGTCACGATCCAGTCACCCGGTTCTGTAGGTAACCAAGGGCTAGCCACCCTAGCCACCCGTACCAAATCAGAAGGACAATAGCTGCTGACCTAGAGTTTATTTATCCCAGTGGATCTGGGATCCACTCAGATAAATGATTGATTGCAACATACGCCAGGGGATCGGACCGGAAGTGGCGAAAGCTTGGCTCCCCATCATGCCGTTGGGGCGTAAAGGACGGTTCGATGGTCACTGTTTCTTTCTCAGCTCGGGAGGGTGGCCATACAATGGATGGACGAAATCCTGCACCACCCAAGAAGCCCTGGAATGGTCCGATTGCCTGTAAACACCAACAAACAGTGGTTTCTCATGGTTTCTTGGGTGGTGCGAAATGGATTTCGCAGCCATCCACAGTAGTTCTTTCTCAGGTCGGTTGCTTTGCTTGCCACGTATACTTGGCTCAGAGGACCTGGAAATAAGAAGGTGAAATCAGCTTGTGCCATAACGAAAAATCGGGCCAAACCGGGGAAAAACCAAAAGGTCAGATCCGGCCGATTCGCTTTGGGCAACTGAGTATGCATGCCTCCAGGGATGAACTTGAGACTTGACCCGCTTTGCCAGGCACTTGCGTCCTTTCCGGGGTGCCTATGTTGATTTTCTCTGGTTTCCCCAAATGAACGTCATCAAGAGTCAACTCATGTAGCCAAACCCTTCCCTGTCGCCTTGGAAATCTTTGGCCAGCATTTGTTTGCAGCTTTGCTGGCAACATCGATAGCTATCTCGCGTTGGTCATTGATGTTGCTGGCAGGAAAACGTCTTCACAGCCTGCCACGACATCGGCGACGAACTAGCCACATCCAGCTGCGTGGAATAAATAAAATAAAATGCAGTCACGCGGGGTTCATCATTTTGCGCCCAGTGGAGCAACAATACCAGCAAGTGTCTGCAAACTTGCAAGCTGCACAAAACGGGGGTTGACCAAACACGTGGTACTCTGCCCAAAACCATGCATCATGGATGTCTTGGTTTGCCATGAACCCAAATCATGTCGCAAATGTTATGACAAGCTTCCAAACTAGCACTCAGGTGGGCAGCTTCTTGAAAACCTGAATCATGGGCTGCATTGAGAAAACCCTTCGGATGGGTGGTGTCCCACTAAGGTGCTCGGAAGCCTGAAAGATTGCACCCACAGTATCACAAGCACACCATGCAACAACGCAACACGAACCCTCTTGCACGCGCCTGGCGTTGCACCTGATTCCTGACCTGAGCAGGCGGTAAGGCACACGGGCATGCCCACATCCGTACCCCCTCCGCCAAACACACGCACAAACCCGTACATGCATAAACACATAGACACACAAACGAGCGCGCACACACACACACTCTCTCTCACACACACTCTTACAATGAGCGGTAAGAGTACCAGCAAAAGCCAAATCACATGGCGGCTTTCTATTCATGTCTGATAGGGGGCAAAACTTCGCTTTTGTCCAGCTTCACCCCCAAAATGGGCCAACATATGGCCACGCGGGCTCAAGAACAACTTTGCGCAGTGAATAAGACAATCCCCAAATGCCACTTTGGCCGCCCCTTGGTTGTTGAATTGGGCATGGCACTCATGCCATCATGCCTCTGCAACGGAGGGCTGTTGAGTGCCATGCAGCGGGAGGGGAGGGGGTTGAGTCGTTGAGGGGGTGCAGGATCGATGCGGCAACTCTGCATCCAATGGGTTGAGTGATTGAAACTCTCCAAACCAATCCCAAACTTCTGCGGAAGGCATCAAGCCGCCGACACGCGGGTATCAAAACTGGGGCCTTTCCCTGCCTTTGAACCAAAACACGGGGAGAGCACACACACACACACACACGACTCCCATTTCACCCAGTGGCGGCCATGTAAAAGCTGCGATTCTCCTTGCTGAAGCGCAGGAAGCCCTCGCAGGAAATCTGGGCACTGAGCCTTGCTTTTGATTAAGTGAGGTTGCCGAATTGGATCCCTGCACCTCCCAAGCTTTTTGGATTACATGTCTGAGGTTTTAGTTTGGACGATGTCAATTCTAAGCGCCAAACCTGATCACAGTTATCTTTAGCTATTTGTGGACTCGTGTGGCGCAACGCTTCTGACAAGATAACAATATGCCAACAACAACAACGAACACCCATCACCCACCCACCCACACCCACCCCAGAAGGGCACCTTGGGGGACCTAGTTCATCAATCCCCGTACCTTGAGTTTTACTGCACGTGGCTCCCGTATTGTTTGGCTCTAAAGTTCCGCGCAACGAGTGCCTGCCAGGCGCGCATGGTGTCCTCCAGGTCAAACTGTCGGGCCATGGCCGTGGCCTGCCGCACCTCCCGCACTCGACGCGCGCGGTCGTCGGCCCAGAGGGCGGAGGGCGGGTTTGAAGTAGATCTTGGCCCTGGCTTCGTACTTGCGCTTTGGTAGTGCGAAGTGATGTGATTTGTTTGCTGCTTTTTCCAGTGTTCTTGGTTTGCCTCATTCGGGCTACTTGGATTTCACTTACCCATGCCCTGAACATTCCTGAACGTACGGATCAGTCAGCCGGCCACATTGAAGGCTGGGTGCAAGCTGGGGCTTTGATAGCTCTGCTTGGAGTCTTGTAGTGTGGCTGCTAGAAACTTCTCTTGCGAACGGGTGTTGTGAAATGGTGGCACTCATCAGTCGCAGGTGGACGGTGGCCGTGCATGTTGCGTGTCGCTTGTTGTTCTTGGCTTTGTCAAGTGGCAGTCATGTGTACATGAAAGGCATCAAGCGCCTGAAGCAGCATGGAAGGTTGCCACTACCAAAAGCCCAAGATGGAAAAACAAGTCCGCACATGTCCTCCATGAAAGCCAACCAAACGCCAAGAACGGGCCTCAAAACTGGACGAGTTGTGGACACAAAACGCTTACTCACCTCTTGGCTAAAGCAAGATCTCAAGTGCACCATATATAGCTCCAGAGTCGAGAGTTAACTCTGAATCAAAAAAAAATCAACACAAGGTGAGTCACAATCAAAACCTGGTACAACAATGGTCGACCCAGAACCATGTAAAGAACTAAGAAGGCGGCCGAAGCTATTTATGGCTGGGATTGTCCCTTACTAACATTCATCTACCCTGGTTTTGATTACGGCTCAGGAGTTATTGACAGGTAAAGATCAGGAGTTGTTGTCACGCCGCTAGGAAGCTCCAGCACTGAACCAGTCTTTTGCATTCCAAAAAACGCTGGCCGCTCAGGGGCCGCTTTCTGTCGGACATTTGTTTGAAACTCAAACATCCATCCCTTCCTGGCTTCCGTGTGCAGCAATTGGACAAGTGCTGGCCATCTGGAACACGATAAGTCACTCAATAGCCACAACCTCAAGCAAAATGGAAGTTTCTCAAAATGGGGGATCCCCTTTGAGTCGGAAAAGCGAAACCAAAGCAAATCATTGCCATTTAGGGGGGACCACTATCTGGGTGTTGTTTTTTGGAACTGCCCTCGTTGGGGCTGGCTTAAACGGACACCAAAAGGATTTCGTTGGGGACTGGTTCAACTCCCATGTATGAGCCACAGTCAAAATATTCCCCTGACATGCTAGTTTCGTAAGTAACCTCCATTTCCCAGATGAGCTCTGTTGGAAACCCCCCTAATTTTCCTTATACCCACGATATGATGTGGTCAGTCTCATGCGGGGCGGCCACATTTTGTTGACATCCTTGTAAGAAACAACGCTTGCAACAACAACTATCGCAAGTAAACATTGGCAACTCCGGCTCGAAAGTCGCAACTTTTCAGTACAAGTGTAGTAAAGGAGACACACTTTGGCAGCTCCGGCTCGAAAGTCGCAACTTTTCACTACAAGTGAAATAAAGGAAATGCACTCTGGCAGCTCCGGCTCGAAAGTCGCAACTTTTCAACAAGTGAAGTAAAAGAAATGCGCTCTGGCAGCTCCGGCTCGAAAGTCGCAACTTTTCAGTACAAGTGTAGTAAAGGAAAGACACATTGGCAGCTCCGGCTGAAAGTCGCAACTTTTCAGTACAAGTGTAGTACAGGAAATGCACTTTGGGGAACTGCCTGCATTTGCTGGGTGGGACAAGCAAGTGGATGTCGTTCTGGTGTCGTTCTGATGTCGTTCTGGCTCGGTGTGAACCGTGGGAAACAACTGCAGGATGTACAGACAACGGCATCTTGCAAGGCAACATGTCAAACATGCACGGGCAAGCGTGCGCAGGCAATGCGGCCATCAAGCTCCGGCTGGAAAGTCGCAACTTTGCAGTACAAGCGTAGTAGGCGCTCCGCCTGGAAAGTCGCAACTTTTCAGTACAAGTGTAGTACGCGAAGTGTGCTCCGGCAGCTCCGGCTGGAAAGCCGCAACTTTTCAATACAAGCGTAGCGCGCAAACTCCGCTCCGGCAGCTCCGGCTGGAAGTCGCAACTTGTCAGGAAATGCGTAGTACGCAAAGTATGAAGAAGGGACTACTGCCGCTGGGATGTTGTTTCGGATGTCGTTTCCACATATTTTGCTATTGGCGGGCCCCACAGTATCAAGTTGATTCAGAGGCGGGGCGGCCTCATTTCGCTGCGTGTGTCAAAAAACTGGGTCGCTGCAACACTAGTCCTCTACTAGGGGGTTTTTAACGGAACTCAGATGTTGTTTTAAGGTTTTTTGGTGAGTGCACCGAATGATATCCCCTATCAGCCTATCAGTACAGTACATGACAATAAATGCCATGAACTTCAATGCGGAATTCTCAAGGTGGGCGGTGGACATGAGTCCCGCAGAATTCGGAGCTCTCTATTTCGGGTCCCTCCAAGGCCGAATGTATACTCCATTTTTCATCCCATGGTATGAACCCAAGTTTCTGGGTCAAACCTTAGTTCTGGCTTCAAATATGGTTGAACTCCGCCAGTCGAAATTGGCCATGGGTTTCTCAGTTGCCCAAAGGCCCCAGAAATAAAGGTTCACCTGTTGGGACCTCCACTAAAAATGGACCAAAAAATGGAAAACCCAAAGGTCAGATCAGGTCGATTCGCTTTGGTTGCAACTGAGGTTAGAAAATTTGGTTTAGAAAAAATCGCCGTGCATGGGATTCTATAGGATTTCCCCCGTTTGGTTTATTCAGACATCCACCAAAATCCGCCGAAATCCCTTCAGAACTCCTTTGAGTCCATGGGGCCCAGGCAGCTGCTGGCATGAGGTGCCGGCAGCGCAAGCCGTGGCGACCCGACTGCGACCGACCGCGGCGAGGCCCGGGGGAGACGAAGCTCGGTCCAGTTCGGTGGATTTTTGGTGGTCGGAATCGTTGTTCTTCTTGGCTTTGTGGCAAGGAATGATGACCATTTTTGATGGAATGGGACTTGGTTTGTGGAGCCTTCGGGAATTTTT